GAGTCTAATAGAGTGAACCTGCACCTAATTATCACAAATAATTGTCAAAATAATAAGCAACAGCACAGCCGAGCTTTCAGCGTTGCTCATGTTAAAAAGATTTATTTAGGCCGAGTAAGATGGAAATGCTTGCAGGTCAGATAAATAATAACCTGAATGAATTTGACTCATCTTGCGCTAGAATAAACTCACTTTGAATGGCGAGTGTCAGACAGCATTGAGTGGTTGATGCTACTGTTCATGGCCTATTATGTATTCATTACTTCCCATTAGAGGAGGGATTTTCAACACAATCCCATTATTGGATACAATGGTACATTTATTTTGTTTGTAATGATGAGCCAGCCAGTCAGTCAACATGAGTCAAACCCACTGTGTTTGTCTTGTTCTCTATTTATAACCCCCCCCCCCCACCTCCCTCCCTACTACAGATTAATTTCCTTGACAAGAAGACAGAATACAACTACACAGGCCTCATTAAAATGACAATTGATGATCAAATGCTTCTTTCTATTGCGCTTGCAGTGAAACTTTCATGTGCCGCAGTCTGGATCTCTGCGTATCACCTCAATACATCAAACAACTGAATAAGCAGCATCCTAATATAAGTAAATAGGATGTTATGTTGTGCTCAAATGATTCATGTCCTTAAGTAGCTTTCCAAGGTTGTTACAGAAGCAGATTATATCTACAGTGGTAGTTATATATTATCATTAATTGTATAAGCATACATAATTTATAATTTCCTTGTCTGCCATCTATTTCCCAATTCTGCGCCCAACATCAAAGTTAACTGAAAATGAAGAACTGGTCTTGGTGCATTAAGCAAGGTCAATCAAGAATTGACAGTGCTGGACTTGTAAAGTCGTAGACCAGGAATGTCCAGCAGAGTTTGGGTCTTGTCCTAATTAAACACATCTGACCCAACTAATCAAGGTCTTCAGGACCACTAGAAACGTTTAGACAGGTGTGTTGGAGGTCAACTTTGCAGGAAAGTGCCCCTCCAGGAGTAGGATTGGACATCTCTTTCCTAGACACCTCAGATGTTTCAAAGCACTTATCAGGTGCATCTTTTTGATTTCAGCACAGTTCTGTTGCTTTTGAATCTGAAATCCAGAAGTCTGATGTGTAGATGCTAGGCCAGATGTCTTCAGCTTTGCTCCTGAAGACCCTGTCCTGCAGAGTTTATCTCCAAGCCTGATCAAACACACCTGAGCCAGCTCATCAAGGTATTCAATTGTTGAGGAAGGTTGGAACTAAACCTAGCAGAACAGTGAGTCTCCAGGAGCAGGGTTGAAGACCTATGAGGTAGGCCGATGACCTACAGGCAATGATACATTATTGCTCATCATGACCTAAAGGAGAAAGTAATTATACTCAAGTCCCTAGTTCCCAGGTTGCTTAGTAGGATATAGAACAGTGTTAACCTTAAAATAAAATGGTACAAACAAATCTTCACAACTGATTGTCAATAACAATATGCTAATGTAAAACTGTAAACTAGGGACGCAACAATAATCCAAAGATAGAAGTAAACATTCGGTAAAATTGTCTGTAACGCTGTTAGTAATGGGACCATGCCACCCTGCCAGAAAGAGAGTAGAACCATATAAACTATACAACTGTGTACAAATGTTTGATCCAATTGAAACTGTGAGTTTGGCCTCTTCGTATAGTAAGATATCAAGAGAGTAGCTCCTTAGCAGCTAAGCAGCTAGTTTAAAACATCATTATCAAAAATTGCAGCTGCCTATCTTATCCTTTCCAGTTGCTTTTTCTTTCCATCATAAGTCGTTCATTCAATAGTATTTCTCTGTCACACTTGGCGCTCCCACTAAAGTGACGTAAAATAAAAAGGGTCTTAACAAAATTTGAAGACAAGTGGTCACAGGATATGCACTTCTTATTCCCAGATGGAAACAGTAATGCATGTTTTGGTTGACGACTTGTGAGTGGATCACATGAAACACATCTTAATACCAGGTGGAATCAGGGCTTCCATCTAGCTCGCTTGGTTTCCGGGATATTTTATATAATTTGCAGGCATCAGGGAGCTGCTTTCAAAATGAAACTTCCAGAAATTCTGAGGGAGGTAGGATGTCTGAAATGGGCTCTTGTGCTGATGTCTCAAGAAAATTAAATGGGAAATGATCTGATGAGAATACAAGGAAAACAACATCAGTCTAGTCTCAAAGAGCTGATTAATTGAAGAGGATAATATGTGTTGCCTTGCAAAGAGTTCAAGAGCTGAATAGACCTTAATAAGACCTGTTCTGGAAGCACACTAAAGAAGAAAACGATGACCTATTCAACATTTAAAGCTCTTTCAAAATGAACTGAATGACCTACACTACATACCTCTACGTCTTTCTACCCATTAAATGAACTGGCCATGGCCAAAAGGCTATGGCACTTATATGATTCAAATTATTTGGATCTTGTCAAAGAGTAAATATTGTCACTGTTTGCACTCCGGATCAAGCTGATGAATGCTCAGCCATTGATATAGACATCATAGAGCTATTGTAATGAATGCATGGAAAGTTGGTATCTTCTGAAAAAAAAAAA